TCTCACACACACACACACAGATTAAACAGCAGAGTTTGATGACACACACACACACACACACACACACACACACACACGCAGCAGAATACTCATATTTCTAATAAGCAGCGAGTGGTTTAGATTACAGCGAGCGGATATAAACAGGCTGATTTCAGGCCCACTGATGATAACAATCGAGCTTCAGCTTTCCGGGCGAACGTTCAAGCGGTTTCACTGAAGGACAAAGATCTCTTTCATCATCCCTCAGTGCTGCTTCTGTTCCTGGAGCGGCACCTCCAGATTAAACACAGCGCCGGGATTGAGCACAGACACACACACAGCAGATCAGATCCAGCTCTCGCTGTGATACTGTCCAGCAGCAGAGCATTACTAAAGCTGTGCTGACACTGCTAACATGCTTCATCATCTGCGTGTTGTTTCCACAAGCTTTGGAGACGTAACATAACGTGCTCTGATGTGCTCGAGTTTCTCCTTCACTGGTCGAGTGTACATCAGCATAATCTGAGCGAGCGTTGCGTGCAGCTAGAAACGGTCTTGGTGTGTTAATCAAATAAGGCTTCATTCAGTGTGTGTGTTTGTGTGTGTGTGTGTGTGTGTGTGTGTGTGTGTGTGTGTGTGTGTGTGTGTGTGTGTGTGTGTGTGTGTGTGTGTGTAAAGGAAAAACAGCTCAATCAATCCCCATCCTGATCTGCAAACATGACCGCAGTGAGTCCAGATAAGAGGAAGACCATCAGCCCTGAGCTGCAGCGTGGGAAACACTCCAAACACCTCCACACACTGACCTCCAGCAGCTCATCCTCTACACTAGAGTAGACTAGAGTATAGTGTTGTGTTCAGACATCATGAGGAGACATGAGAGAGTTTCTCCTGAACACAAGCTCTATCACCTGATGTCAAGGAGAAAACAACATTATTACTCCTACAGCATTGTTCAAGTTCAGGTTGAGCTTTACTGACGCCCTCTACATGTGTGGAGTGAAGTATCGGCTCTCGCAGTACCACACTGCTATATAAACACATAATCATATGAACACAACACCACACACTTTTTACACCTATACATCACTAACATACTGGAGCATCACTCTAACTATACTAACTATACATGCACACTACACACGTAACTATACACATGTAACTATACACACGTAACTATACACACGTAACTATACACACGTAACTATACACACGTAACTATACACACGTAACTATACACACGTAACTATACACACGTAACTATACACACGTAACTATACACACGTAACTATACACATGTAACTATACACACGTAACTACACACACGTAACTATACACACGTAACTATACACACGTAACTATACACACGTAACTATACACACGTAACTATACACACGTAACTATACACACGTAACTATACACATGTAACTATACACACGTAACTACACACACGTAACTATACACACGTAACTATACACATGTAACTATACACACGTAACTATACACACGTAACTATACACATGTAACTATACACACGTAACTATACACACGTAACTATACACACGTAACTATACACACGTAACTATACACACGTAACTATACACATGTAACTATACACACGTAACTATACACACGTAACTATACACACATAACTATACACACGTAACTATACACATTTAACTATACACACGTAACTATACACACGTAATTACAGACATAACTATACACACGTAACTATACACATGTAACTACAGACATAACTATACACACGTAACTATACACACGTAACTATACACACGTAACTACAGACATAACTATACACTCGTAACTATACACACGTAACTATACACATGTAACTACAGACATAACTATACACACGTAACTATACACACGTAACTACAGACATAACTATACAGACATAACTATACACACGTAACTACAGACATAACTATACACACGTAACTATACATATGTAACTATACACACGTAACTACACACACGTAACTATACACACGTAACTATACACACGTAACTACACACACGTAACTACACACACGTAACTATACACACGTAACTATACACACGTAACTATACACATGTAACTATACACACGTAACTATACACACATAACTACACACACGTAACTATACACACATAACTATGCACATCTCTGTTAGAAAATGACTCATCTTTATTAAATAGAGCTCAGATAGACAGCCCAATGGCGGCACGGTGGCTCAGTGGTTAGCACTGTGGCCTCACAGCACTCAGGTCGCTGGTTTGAGTCTCGGCTGGGTCAGTTGGTGTTTCTGTGTGGAGTTTGCATGTTCTACCCGTGTTGGCGTGGGTTTCCTCCGGGTGCTCCGGTTACAGTCCAAACACATGCGCTATAGGGGAACTGATCAACTACACTGGCCGTAGTGTATGAGTGTGTGTGGCACCGTGCTGCGCTGCACATGCTCTATCGGGTTTCTGTCTTCTACATGAGAGTTTGGTCTGTTCTAGATCCTCTATATTATAGATTCTAACCCACTGACACTAATGCATCTCTTTATTTAACTCCACACGAGCTTTAATAATGTTTAGATATTTGGCCTGGAAACAGGACTAGCAGGACGTTCAGCAGTGTGTGCCGCTCCGACACGTACACCAGCATTCAGTGACAGTGGAGAGCGTCCCGATAGCATCACACAGACACCAGCATACGTCTGCTCCCTCATTCAGGTTCTTCTGCTCAATAAGTCATATCTGTAGCATATCTGTAGTATAGTCCAGATATCTCCTAAATCCAGAAGCAGCATTATTATTATTACGTTCAGAAATCATCCGCACAGGCTCAGAGTGGAAGCGAATGTCTGCATTTCTGTACTGTGATAAGAGCACTTGTGTTCTGATTTAGCATGAGCCGATGGTCAGAACAGGACAATATCTAAGACAGACTATCCCTTTAACTGGCAGAGGAACAACTGCTCTTGCTGAAAGGGAGCCAGAGTTGAGCAAGGCCTGCGGATCTGCGGGTGTGACTTCAGGATTAATTCCCATCATGTGATTGGACGGAGTCATGAGGAAACAAAGAAACACAGGGAGGAGGTGGAGGACGGAGAAAATCCCCTTTGGCACAAGCTTCTGTAATTAATTCAGGAAAACTTCACCCCAGCGGGACTCAGTGAACACACACAGCTCTGATAATCACCTCACATCCTCCCAGAGACACGTCTGCTGACCACCCGCCCGCCCGCCCGCCCCGCACTTTCATTTAGCAGGAGATTAGCCTAGCGCTGGGTGTTCACTGCGGAAGCAGACGGCTAGCAGAGATGCTCACTGTATAGTCAGATTAGCAGAGATGCTCACTGTATAGTCAGATTAGCAGAGATGCTCACTGCATAGTCAGATTAGCATAGATGCTCACTGTATAGTCAGATTAGCAGAGATGCTCACTGTATAGTCAGATTAGCAGAGATGCTCACTGTATAGTCAGATTAGCAGATTAGCAGAGACGCTCACTGCATAGTCAGACTAGCAGAGATGCTCACTGCATAGTCAGATTAGCAGAGATGCTCACTGTATAGTCAGATTAGCAGAGATGCTCACTGTATAGTCAGATTAGCAGATTAGCAGAGATGCTCACTGCATAGTCAGATTAGCAGAGACGCTCACTGCATAGTCAGATTAGCAGAGACGCTCACTGTATAGTCAGATTAGCAGAGATGCTCACTGTATAGTCAGATTAGCAGAGATGCTCACTGTATAGTCAGATTAGCAGAGATGCTCACTGTATAGTCAGATTAGCAGAGATGCTCACTGTATAGTCAGATTAGCAGAGATGCTCACTGTATAGTCAGATTAGCATGCACACAATGCAGTGAAGTCAGCAGTGATGCACACTATGTAGTGAAGTCAGCAGTGATGCACACTATGTAGTGAAGTCAGCAGTGATGCACACTATGTAGTGAAGTCAGCAGTGATGCACACTATGTAGTGAAGTCAGCAGTGATGCACACTATGTAGTGAAGTCAGCAGTAATGCACTCTATGTAGTGAAGTCAGCAGTGATGCACACTATGCAGTGAAGTCAGCAGTAATGCACACTACGCAGTGAGGTCAGTATTAATGCACACTATGCAGTGAGGTTAGTAGTAATGCACACTATGCAGTGAGGTCAGCAGTAATGCACACTATGCAGTGAGGTCAGCAGTAATGCACACTATGCAGTGAGGTCAGTATTAATGCACACTATGCAGTGAGGTCAGCAGTAATGAACACTGTGCAGTGAGGTCAGCACACTATGCAGTGAAGTCAGCAGTAATGCACACTATGCAGTGAGGTCAGCAGTAATGCACACTATGCAGTGAGGTCAGCACACTATGCAGTGAGGTCAGCAGTAATGCACACTATGCAGTGAGGTTAGTGTGGACAGCAGCAGTAGTGGGCTGTAGGGTGTAGGGTGTAGGGGGTTGGATGTTTCTGTGACTGCTCTCCATCATCACTGTAGCGCTCATTAACTGCAGCCAAACTAGCCGCTGCCAAACCCTGCCCTCTGTAACCGTGGCGATCCAGCATCCTGCGGGGGAGGGGCATGATGTCATCGCAGG